TATGGTGTTCGTGTCTCCAGATTCACTGTCGGTCGGCTGATCAAGCGAATGAAATGGTCGAGAAAAAAGATGGCCATCTTCGCCAAGGAGCAGAATCCAATACTCCGTGACGATTACATATATAGGCGATCCCTCTTTGACCCAGATGGATGGTATTTCTAGATGAGAGCGGAGACGATCGTAGCGTCGCGATTCCGAAAAAAGGTTATGCTCCTATTGGCGTAACCCCGGTTCAGAAAAAGCCATTCCATCGCGGTAACAGGGTTTCCTTTCTGCCAGCTTATAGCCTCGATGGCGTTCTTTACTGCGAAGTATATGATGGCCATACGGACTTGGACTTCTTCGAAGGGTATCTCCTCAGACTGCTGCCATACCTAGGGAGGTACCCCGGACCGCGATCGGTGATCTTCATGGATAATGCCTCATTCCACAACGTTTCACTCGAGGTTCAAGCCACCCTCGCCGAAGCGGGTGTTTTGCTGGTTATGCAGCCGCCTTACTCACCCGATTTAAACCCGGTAGAGTATTTTTTTGGTTCACTCAAGCAGCACATTGCCGCCCGAGCTTTAGAGCACGAGGATCTTATCAAAGCCGACTTCAAGTCGTATCTGCGCATGCAAATAAATATATTGGGTCGAGGTAAGACCGGGAGGAGATGGGCGCGAGGTCACTTCAGAAAGGCTCAAATCTACGTTTGACGCTTTTATGAAAACAACGTTCCATTTGAGCTGATGAAACGCCGATTTTGCGGGAGGTTCAAAATACTAGGGTGAGCATTGCAGAGGATCGATTCCAAGGCTGGAATCGACAAACAGGATGCTGTATTAAAAGATATCTCAAGGATCATACGCAATGCTAAAAGAAAACTGTTCATCTAATTGCCTGCGGCTTTCTCCCGTTCTTTCTTGAACCATGGAACGCCAGACACATAACGCCATGCAAAGCCCTCAGGCACACCTTCGTCCATAAAAAAGACGCATACCCGTTCTTTATTACTGTGCATGTAATCGAGGTCATAGCCATTTCGCAGGGCCAGCTGCTGCATAAACTCGTAATGTCCCTTCTGCTCATCAGACGCGCCATGTTTCAGCCATGTGGTATGCGCCCGAATATTGTCTTCGCTGCGCTGCGCAAAGCCCATGAGGGGTGTGGTTGGGAACACCATCGCTGGAATAATCGTGCGACCATCATGGGCAAGCTGAGCTGGGTTCGGGGGATTTATGGTCAGATTCTCCGAACCTGGACGTCTCCGCTTGCGTTTCGCTCGTTCGTTTTCCTCTCGAGACTGACGGTCACGTTCGTCATCAAGAACCAATCTGCGGAAAGTTTCGGGGACATCATCATGCCCATCAAGTGGCTTTCCTGCTTGTAAGTGATCGGCTAGCATCTTCACGTGGTGAGGATGAAGCGGGTAGTGTTGGCCATCAGACTGCCAGCAGTGGTCGCTGCCCTTTTTGCATGGGGGGCCAGGGCACCTCATAAGGGCAAACGCCTTCTTGACGCAAACGCCACGGCTGAGAACGGCCCCATCGCCGATTCTGGCTTGTAATTCTTCCAGCTGATTGACTGTCGCCCTGCCTCTGGTCACTTTGTTGCTCTCGATGTACGTGCTTTCGAACGTTATGTTAATAGTGATCAGGTTGCGTTTCTTGCCTGTATTGGGCAGCTCATTCCAGTCTTGCAGCTGTTTCTCAATGACTAGCCATTCGATGTCTAGGTTTGCGAAACGCTTTCGAAAGGGTCCGGTGCTACGATGGGTTG